CCCACCTCTCAGCCCTCACGAATGTGACCCCGAGGCCCTGCCCTCCTCCTCCCATCGCCGTCAGGGCCCCCACCCCGCTCCCAACCTGCAGAGCTGGAGGAAAACAACAAACCCCTCTGAAACCAAAACAAAAAGCGTGATGCGGGAAGAGAGGGGAATCACAAACGGCTCCAAATACAAACAAACCACGCAGGCACATGCACCAACCCAATAACCCATTTATGTCGGGCTGCAGGCTGGAGCCGGGCTGCGGCGAGCAGCCAACAGCTGGGGCCCGGCGTCGGCGGGGAGCTCTGCCCCAGCTGCGTCCCTGCGAGACGCCGCAGCCCCTGCCCGCGCCCCCCCCGCGCACACACACAGACACACGCACACACACACGCACACCTCGGGCGGCCGCGGCGTCACGGGGTGACACGCAGACACGGGCGGGCGGGCGGCCGCGCGCGTGGCCTGCCGGATGCGGCCTCTTTTACACTCTAAACTTTCGAGAAAGAGAGAGAGACATAAAGCCCATTTACTGTACCTTTCTGGCATCTTTCTCAGCTTTCCCTGCTGCTTCTCCCCACCCCCTTCCGATTTATCTCAGCTACTGGTTTTATAAACCGAGAGGGTGGAGGGGGGGAGGGAAGAGGAGGGGGCTTTTTTCTCCTCTCTCAGCCCCGTCTGCACCTTCTGCCTGAGCAGAGTGAAGTCACAAGGCTGAGGCTGTGACATCACAGCGAGCCCACAAACACCGGATTGTGACTTCACTGCAGGGCAGAACGGGGAGGATGAGGAGAGGGGAGGGGAAAAGGCTCTTATTCAAACATATCTGCAGTAGTAACAAAGGGAACTCAGGAAATGGCTGGCCCAGAAAATGGCTTTTTTTTTTTTTTTTTTTTTTAAAGCGTATTCTCTTTTCCTATCCCACCCCCCGCCGCAAAAAAGAAAAAAAAAAAAAAAAAAAAGTTTGTGACCGCAACAGGAATACCTTTCACAAGTGGTTTGGGCAGGACAAACAGCAAGCGCCGGACCAGCGCTGTTCTCCAGCACTGCCCATCACCCACAGCCCTTTGGCACCGAGTAACCCACCCGCTGTGCTGGGGCTGAGACTTGAGGAAGGGAGCCCGGCAGAGGACGAGAGGTGCCGGGGGATGGCAGGAAGGCAAAGGGGCTGGGGGGACTGCAGGTCACAGTGCTGAAGAAGGCAGCAGTGACGCGCAGTGACAGAGGTCTGGCAGCAGCGGGTTGGGCTGAGGTAACGCTAATTAACACGCACTCGATTGTTTTTTTTTCTTCCACTTGAGGATCTGAAACCACTTTCAAGCTATAATTGGAATAAAAGGGGTAGTAGAGGTTAGGTTTAAGGTAACAGAGTTGAATGCGAGGCCTAAGGAAGGCAATAAACAGTGACGTTTTCAGTTCTCCATCCGATTTTCAGTTTTTAGGTGCCCTGGGAGGCTGGGGTAGGTAAAAGAAACACCCGAAGGCTTTGAATGCATAGCAATGCCTGGATGTTGCAAAAGAGCACAGTATTAACGTATTTTTGAAACAACACCCCCAAAAAGGGGATTTACCGAGTACTGGCTTAAAGCAAACAGGACAGTTGCAGGAATTGGGGTTTTCTTTGTTTATTCAGTTGGAGGGTGGTTTTTTTTTTTTGTTTTTTTTTATAGCAGTTTACCAAAATTTAACACAACCTCAAATATGTCGGTAAATAGGCAAAAAAATAAAGCCCTGTTATTTGTGTTTAAAGCAGAATTTTCTTCCTCCTTTTGGAGAGAGGCAACCCAAAGCCTTGTGCTGCGCTAATCATGCCCGCAGGCCAGGAATGCAGGGGGATAATAAGCCAAGGGCACAGCCACAGCCAAGCCAAGTGCAAAAATATACATGTATAAAAATTACAGGGCGCTAATTGCAGACGATGCTATAAAGTTATCTGAACCGCAGAGCCAAAGGGGAGGCAGCTGTGCTCCTTGCAGCGTGTCCACCCTTCTGCAGCCGCTGCTCCAGACCCCTCCAAGGCCAACCCTCCATGGATCCTCCACGGATCATGGACAGCCATGCTGCATGCAGCGGGTGGGATGCATAAGGGAAGCGACCAGATCCCTGCCAGCCTGGCAGGCAGAGGCTCTGAGAAGCTCCCCCGTGCCGGAGCTGCTCCATCCACTGACTCTGAGTGCCAGCACCTCGAGCATTTTCTTCCCAGCCCTGGCACAGCCATGGCACCTGGGAAGATGTTCCCTGGCTGCCTGTGTCGTACAGCTTCCAGTGCCAGCGCAGCAACATAACAGGCTGCCACGGAAAGGATGAGCTCTCCTTCAGAGAGGGAGGAGAGCTGGCACACTATGGGCACCCACCTGACTCTGTGCCCACCATACTCCCCAGAGAACCTCACTCCCTGTTTGGCTGCAATTTTCTTACAACTGAATCCTATTGGAGTATTTTCTCCCCTCCTGCCTCCATGTTTGCCCCAGTCCTTTCCCCTGGGGACCTCCCTCAGCAAGGCACACAACATGGCTGCTGCAGTGCCAGGGTGCTCGCAGCCATGGGGAGAGCGGAGCGAAGGAGCGAGGAAAGCAAGAAACCCAACACGCACATAAACGAGAACAGGCGTGCTCCGCCTCGGCCCACACCACCATTACCTGCCTTGGAGAGCGGCCAAGGTGCCCAGGCTGCATCCCTCTGCGCTGGTGCAAAGTGCAGGGCTTTGGCAGCGCGTCTCGTCCCAAACCACAAAACCAGAGCCAGGGCAGGGGCTGAACAGGGGCTTCTTTTCGCACAACTGCGATTGTTTTGTTGATGCGGAAAGGTAATTAAAAAAAGTTCTGATTTCAAACGTGCCACAGAATTCCCAGAGCCCGGAGGCTGCTGCTTAGAGGCAGATTAATCACACTGAATTCTCCATCTAGATATTGCATGCACTCCAAACTCCCACCGCTAATAGCTCTAATATTCTCCTCAGCGTGTGCATGCTGCTGGTGTTATGTTCCAAGAATATTAATTCCCCAACTCCAGCTCCTTTCACTTGCGCATGTACCCTAAAGGCTTGCTGCCGGGCACTGGGAGATTAGGGAGGAGAGAAAACAGGGCTGAAGGAGAGCCGGGGTGCAAAGGTGCTGGCAGAGCTTCTCAAGGAAAGCCATTCATCTTCTTTGGATATGCAAGCAGCTCCAGTAAAACCTACCTGAAGGCCAAGTTCTTTAAACAAAGACAGCCAACTACACAGGCACAAGATGGTTGAAATTAAAATGAGTTCCCAGCGCTGGCTTTGTCTTACCTGCTTCCTGCTATCCTGAGAATTGCCCCAAATTTCAATCCTATTAACTGTGGGATCTGAGTTACAGGTTCTTCTCCCGTCCCCTTCACCCCCAAGCAAGGCTCCGTGCATCTGAACCCCGCAGCCACCTATCAGTCACACTGAGAACACCGCAGGTTGTGGTGCAGTCACCCAGACAGCGGGCAGCGCTTTACAGCCGTGAGCCTCTTCAGCTCCAGCAGAGATGGGCAGAGAGCTTCAGTGTGCAGCCTGAGCTCTCCACACATTGGAGAACCGGCACATCCTCATCCCGCAGAGAAGAGGGGAAGAAGTCCAAAGAGAAATGTGTAATTTTTCTTCAGATTGAAATAACTGCTGTTCCTAGTAAGCAGTTCTATGCATGTGTGATCTATATATACGGCCAAAAGGCCGGCTGCTAAGCTATAAAATGAATGCACACTGAAAAGTGCCATTTAAGATGCCTATAATGTAATTTTCAAAGCTACTGGAATGCCCAGAGCTCTTAGTGCTGCTCAGAGAAGACTGTGAGCAGTCTCCAGCCAAAAGCCAGGTCTGTTCTGAAACTGGCCCCATCAGGACTTGGAAAGTCCAGCCCAGAAGGCCTCAGAACGGATGGCTGTGGCCATGCTGCCATTTAGCAGACTTACTTGCCTGGTAAGAAGTTGCCGTTGTCAAGAAGTCAAAATATGTATCTGCATGTATAACATAAATCAGCACGGAAAAGGGCATTTGCCCCTTTAGTTGCAGGTGTTTCCAACAAGCACACCAGCACGTGTCGTTCCACAGGTTCACTGTGCCGTATAGAGCAGCCTGCCAACTATTTTCACAGCTCAAAACATCCTACCTGGTTTCTGGGCTAAAACCTGTATAATCACAGATGTGGGGACATAGGTGGTGGTCCACTGCATAGCTGTAACAGATTAAAGGGAAAATGCAGCATATTTGTGGCTAAATACTTCACAGGTGTCTGATGGCGATGGCAGGGATGCAGCAGAACAGAGACATTCTTCTAAGTTTCCTCTTTCCTATAGATCCTGTAGGTCTACAGCTACATGTGTGCCTTGAACTCTCAGCCCCGATTCCTTCAACTTGATTCCTGCTGCAGGAGAGAGAGGACAGGCTGTGTAAGGCCCTTGGGGCCGGACTCTGCTGTAGTATAAGGGGAGAGGCACTGCTTCCCCCCCCTGCGATAAACCAAGGCACCACTCTGCGCAGCTTAGGCGCAAACGTGTGATCCTCTTTCTCTCTTTGTACACAAAGAATGAAGCTGATAGCAAGGCTGACATCTAAATCCTCACTATTGGACGTCTGAGATAACCCTGGTTGTTTTTGTTTTTAAAGCTCAAACATAGGAGAAGGGAGAAAGACAGAAGGATTTCAACCCCTGCCAAACCCTGTTGCCAGCCCCCTGAGTTACAGATCTATGAACTCTTATGGGATGAGGCTCTTTGCTTTTATCTCCCTGTGCAGCTCGTGTCCTCAGCCCTTTGCAAACAGATGTTTTACCCTCTGAGGAAAAGAGAGAGAGAGAGAGAGAGAGAGAGAGAGAAAGCATGGCCAGGAATGTTGTCTGCAGATGTCAGTCAGGACCTCAGGCTGGGTCTTACCTGCCAGTCCTGCAGAAGGAGGATACATGAATTTTCTAGTTGGATAGTCAGTATCATCAAACAACAAAATTGTGAGGTTTAGATTGTAATGCAGCCTCACGTTCAGTAAAAAGGCCTCGTTATAAAGGGAAGATGTGGGACCCAGGAGCCTATTCCTGGCACCTGAAAAATTAAAATTTCACTACAAATATCCTAAAGAAATGGTCAAAAATAGCACAGCATTTCAGACCGTTTTTGTAGAACATGGTAATATTGGCAAGGGGGGAGTGCTTGTAGGGAGAATACTGTCGGCTTTGAGGAAAGCTTTCTCTGCATTTTTAAAAATGATATGAAGGAAAATATTCTTGGGAACGAGAAGTCTAATGATTACATGTATATAGAGAGTGTCATCTCCATGTCGGCTTTCGGCAGAAATCCGCTCCCCCACGCCGACGCCCTCCCCTCCAGCCACCCACCCTGATATTCTTCTTCACCACTTCCCACCCATTAACCCAGTACCTGCAGTGCAGTGCTCAAGTGGGACTGGCGGAGCTGCTGCTGCTGTCATCTCGTCGGAGCTGGCAGTCACCTGCCAATCTCGCCCCCACTTCCTCCTCCCTCCCGCTCCCCCACCCCTCGTCAGTGCCGCTCTCCCTGGGGATGAATCGCTCTCCCCCCCACAGCAGCCTCACAAATAACTACTGTTAACTCAATAATATCCCCCTCCAAGGTTTTTAATTACCAGCCCCGCGCGGCGCTCCAGGCAGGCAAAACGGGATGGAGAGGGAGGCTAGCAACAGGGGGTAGGAGAGTTTGGATGGCTGCGGGCTTCATGCCGGGGGAAAGGCTCCTTCTCCTGCACATGGCAGCTCTGGACCGCCCGTGGGATGCTGCAGCCCTGGCAGCAGACAGGTGCAGAGCAGGGAAGGGGCGGAGGGG